TGGCTATCTATCTTTATCTCAATCGAAGTATATCCAGGATCTTCTAGCTCGGGCTAATATGTCTGAAGCCAAGAGCATTGCATCTCCCATGGCTTCTACTTGTAGACTGAAAAAACATGGCTCCAATTACTTTGATGATCCTTATCATTACAGGTCCATTGTCGGCGCTCTACAATATGCCACAATCACTCGGCCTGAAATCAGTTTTGCAGTCAACAAGGTGTGTCAATTCATGGCCCAACCACTTCTTGATCACTGGCATGCTGTCAAGCGAATTCTTAGATATCTCAAAGGCACTATCTCATATGGCCTTGTGCTTCAGCCTGCTACAACACAGTGCCCTTTCTCCTTGACCGCTTTCTGTGATGCTGATTGGGCGACTGACCCTGATGACCGCCAATCAACTTTGGGTGCCTTCCTCTTCTTCGGTCCTAACTTGGTGTCCTGGTGGTCCAAAAAGCAAACGTTAGTGGCTAGATCAAGCACGGAGGCTGAGTATCGAAGCCTAGCTATTGCTGCTTCTGAGGTTCTGTGGATCCAATCACTTCTTCGTGAACTGTGTGTTCCCTTAGCTACTCCTAAAATTTTTTGTGACAATCTCAGTACTGTTGCTCTTTCTCACAATCCGGTTCTGCATGCCCGGAACAAACACATGAAGCTCGGCATCATTTTTGTTCGTGAACGTGTCATCTCTAAGGACCTTATTGTGTCACATGTTCTAGCTACTTATCAGTTGGCTGATACTCTTACCAAGCCGTTATCGGCTCCCATGTTTGCCGATTTTCGCACCAAACTCAGAGTTCTGGATATTCATCTGCTCCACAACTCCTGAGTTTGAGGGGGCATATTAGCATATAAAATGCTTCTATCCACGTGCTCTTATCAAGGATCCACTGCAGATCTATTAGTGTGTTAGTTACACTTGATTATAGCTTCATTAGTCTGTTATAGAGTTTGTTACTATTGCTCTATATAAATGAGCTTCATGTGTATTTGTTACATAACGTGAATATATCATTCTCAGTATTCATTGAGTTTTCTAATGGCTTTTCTCACTTCTCTCTCTCTGTATTCTTTCAATTCTATTAGAACACATTCCCATCCAAATTTTGAACGAAAAACATTTTATCAAAATTTTTGACTGAATTCTTTTTTCGTTTAAAACACTTGATGGAGGAAATCATTTTCGTCAAAACTTTTGACGGAAACTAAATTTCGATAGAAAATTTATTTTTGTAAAAATTTTCATTAGAGAAAAAATTCCGTTGCTCTTCGACAAAAAGTATTCCGACGAAAAAATAATTTTGTGACGAAATTTTTGTCGTTTGCAACGTAGAAATTTTGACGAAATTTTGCGACGAAACCAATTCAAAAACGGGTCAGGTCAGATTTAACCCACTTCATAAACCAAGTCAGACCCATTCAGAAACCAAGTCAGGTCAGATCCGACCCGGTTCTGAACTAGTTCAAAAAAATCCAAACCAAGTCAGACCTGACTTAGATCAAATTAAAGCGGGTCGGGTCAAAATACCTGACCTACAAAAACCAAGTTGGGTCGAGTCTACACAAAAACCTGACCCGACCTGGCCCATGCACAGCCCTAACTACATGAACCTCAGCTCATTCAATACTCGACCCATAAGAAAATATGAATATGCTCTATCTCTCTTTTTCTTTGCCCAGACATAAAATGCGTTACACCTCAATGTATGTTATTACATTTGAAACAAAACAAGCATTTATAAAAGGGTTCGTATTTTCTTGTGTTGTAAGATTGCATGAGATAAAAAAAGTAGAGACAAATTAAATGTGGATCTTATATTTTATATTGTAAAAGAAAAAGAAAATTAATTGGCACGAAAAACGAATTTGAGTAGGAAAAATTTTTGCTCTCCTGTCATTTGTGTTTATAAAAACGTATTAACAAAGGAAATAATAAAATATATATTTTAATATATATTTTTAAATTAATTTCTATTATGTTTTTGTATCTTATACTATTCATGATATACCAAACAAAAAATCGACAAAACGATACGATATGTGTTGTGATTCAACAACTTTGCAGGTAAGAAACACGTCAATGGATGGATGATTTTTTTTTTTTGTGTGGATAGTTGATATGCAAAACAATTTAGATTTTGAGGGGCAAATAATTTTTTAGTCACGCATTTAAAAGTGAAATTTTTGTTTCAAAAAAAAAAAGTGAAATTTGATTTCAGGTCCTTAGACTCAATTTAAAAGGATTTCAATTGCTGGTTGATACTACTCTCAATTATTTTCCATTGATATAAATGCAAGGATAAGGTTGTATAATCCTTATTTCTACTTTCTCAAAATCAATTTTATTTTTTTTGTTTTTTATTTTTATAACACCGAGTCGTTCTATGGAAAGAGAAATAACAATAAAAAAGTTAAACTACTTTATATGTTCGCGTGTATTCCCTCTCCTATTTAATGCCTTTCTTTAGCTTTAGCCTGTGCCTACGCCTACACATCCCGAGTTAAATTCGATCTCCCTTCCCATGTGTGGTTTGAAAGCAAGATTCACCTCCATAAAAAGAATTCGAACTAGGCTACCTTTTAATGCCTTTTTTTTTCCATTTCATAAAGATACTCCTCGTTGCATTAGGTTATTCTCGAAATTTAAAATAAGAATAAAACTAGATTACAATATCATTGAGAAATATACACATAATTTCTTAAAACCTTTTATTATAATTATAATTATTATTTGTTATTTTGGAATTGCAGAAAACTTTGTCAACTTCAGGGCATTTTCATCTTTAAAGGAAGAAGAATTTTGGTGCTCCTGAAATACTATTGACTCAGTGATTTATACCATTCAAAATCGGACAACTGATAAAGAGGAGAGAGAAAACTTGTTTTTTATTCAAAGTGTCATCCCTTAATAGAAGGAGATGGCATTCATCATTTCAATTCCAATTATGATCACAACTAGGCCCTTGGATCTACATTTGGGGTGTGTTTGGTACAAGAGAAATTTTTTTTGTACCGGGAATCACAATTAGTGAGAATTCAGTAGGAATTGAGTTTACCTGGAATGTTATAAAAAAGTTGTTTGGTTGGCCAAAATTTTACCGGGAATATTGAGTAAGGATTACTGATTCTATGTTTGGTTTAGAATGGAATATTACTGGGAATACGATGTTATATTACAAAAATAACCCCTACATATTTTTAGTTTCAAAATTGATACAAGTAATGTTACATCCAAACCCGTTGAAAGAAGAATCGTGAAAATAGGGTTTCTTCAACATCTGTCCCAACATCCCATGTGCTAAATCTGGTCTCACAACAAGGAATACAAGCAGGATTCAGCTGATTTGTTGTGACTATCGTCAACCGTGGGTGTCTTTCAGATGAGACAGAACTGAGACGAGAGGGAAGTTGAGAGTGCAGAGGCGAACACTGTTATAAGTTCATCCACAACCAACGACGAAGACATTTCATCTAGAAGTGGTTCAGGTCTTTGTCTTGGTTTTTGTTTTTAACTCTTATTTTTATTTCAATACTCTCTCCTTTCTGTGCAATGTATATCTCTCATGTGTTGGTCCCCTGTACATTGGTATGGAAATGTTGAGATGGGGCTCCCTTGAATTTTTTTTTTGTCTGGTGTTGCAAAGTTGTGCTTGCTTCAATTGATTGATTCGTTGGTCAATGGATAGTTTATTGCAGAAAAAGAAGGTTGTCGTGAATAATTTTTGTAGGCTGGTTTATGACCTGGCCATTGTCGTGTTGGGGGTAATTTAGTCTAAAAAATAGTAGTTCTCATTTCCCTTCGCGTTGCAATCGTCAATTACCACACATTTTTTGGTAATCAGCACAGTAACTTTTGTTTGTAAATGAGATTACCGGTAAAACTAGGATATCTAGGAATTGGCTTTTGGATCCTTGTACCAAACATGGTAATTACCATTACCACACAAGGTTTACTGGTAATCTCCCCAAAATCCTTGTACCAAACAGGTCCTTGGGCTTTTCCCAATTGGATTTGAGGGAAGAGAAGCAAAGATTGTAGTACTTGGTGTTCTTGCAAGTTCACTTGGTCAAATTAAGTGGTATCTCCATTCACAAATGGATATGGATGAGGGTGTGCTAAAAGGAGGAGAAACAGCAAAAGGATAAAGGAGGCCATTATAAAATTGTAGGAGAGACGTGAAGTGATGTTTCGTGTTAACCAATTCCCAATTCATTGGTTCTTGCATGTTAGGGGGCGTTGGTACACCTCATTCTTTAAGATTTTCACGAAACTGAATTTTTTTTAATTTTTAAATTTTTAAATATTATTATAAATTGAATGTAAAAATTATATTTTTGAAAAATTGATATTCTCTGACAAAAAAAAAATTTCTCTTTTACCGAACATTCCCTTAATGATATATGACGATATAATATCAGCAGTATATTTTGAAAAAATTAAGATAAAATTATGTGGTTGAATCAAAGAGTGGGGAGATACGGCAGCAATATAACATTGCTCGTGGTTCTAGCTGGCGAACCTCGGGGTACTACAAATTTCATAGTTAAACCTATTAAATCATAGGGTTTTATTTATCTTAAGTAACAGCAAAACCACAATGTCTCGTGCCCTCACATCGGTAACTGAGCCACTCCCTTTTTTTTGTTTTTTTTCTCTCACCTTGGTGGGTCCCATTTTTGAATGTGTCTGTAGGAACACAAATTTATTTTGAAGTTACTTGAGAGTAATAAACCCCTAAATCATATCATTATGTAAAAGTTTCGTTTAGTTCATTTTCAAGTTTAATTTTTAAAATACTGGTGAAAAACTTAAGCGTGCAACTACTCTAAAAAGAAAACGGCTTATAAAAAACACAATGTACACAATAAAAACTTCAGATCCCAGACTCTTCGTGCAAAAGATTTTGTATTATGTATTGGATCATCGTTCACAAGACATAATTTTATTAAAAACTTTAATATAAAAATCGAAATTCTTGAAGCACACGAAAGGGGCAAGGAAGGAGTGATCAGATGATGCGGCGGCACAGGGTAATCCCATCACCGACAGGGAGCTGACAAATCTCAATCCTAGAATCATGAGCAAGATACTTATTGAGCTCAATCACATAAGGGCGATAATGCTTGATGTAGTCCTTCATAGGCGCATCAGGTGAGGCCACCACAGATCCATTCCAAAGAGTGTTGTCGTACCCGATTAAGCCCCCAACCTTCACAAGGTCAATTACCCTTTTGTGGTAGTTTAAATAGTTGTCCTTATCAGCATCCACAAATATGAAATCATATGTTCCCTTGTTATTTTCCTGCCAAATTGACACAGTTTCAACGAATCACAAACTCATTTCGCAAGTCAAGCCAACGCTAATATACGCATTTGTTTATATATATATATATATATATATATATATATAGAATTTAATGTTTCTAAATTGTACATTCGCACCCAAAACGACGTCGTTTTGGGTTAAAAAATTAAAAAATTATAATGAAAAAGATTACTGTAACTCTGAAATAAATTATAATTACAAAAATATTTTGATTTCCGCCTCAATTTAAACTCACATTAAATAAGTTATCTACGTTTTAACTAGAAAAAACGAACATATAGTTGATGGTTCCCCTTCCCCCCATATACATACATTTGTAAAGCATGGACAAAAATTAAGATGGTGACATATGGTACACTCACATCTTTAAGCAGTTGGTCAAGAAGAGGAAGAGCAGGTCCTTCTCTGAAATCAATCTTGTTAGCCACTCCAGCTTTTTGAATTATGGGCAATCCCAACTCATAATATTCGCGGTTCACGTCCATAGCCAAGATCTAATTAAAACAAGTTCATCACCCATACATTAATTTATGAATTTTATGAGGATATATTAAAGTTTAATTATATGTGGTAATCAAGATAAGTAAGGACCTTTCCATCATGGGGAAGAGCGAGGGCAGTAGAGAGCAGAGAGTAACCAGTGTAGACACCAATTTCCATTGTGTTCTTTGCATTAATGAGCTTAAGAAGCATGCTCAGAAGTTGTCCTTCGTCTGGTGGTGTGGCCATGAGGTTCCTGTTTTACAATTAATTTCTTGTTAATTAATTAATTAAAAAGCTTTTCCCACAAATTGGTACTAACAGTGTGATGATCGGCTTGAAAATTTTGTGCAGACACAAAAGTTTGCAGTAGAGATATACTAGACATTTATAACCAAGTGTGAAATCCACACAAAATTTACAAACTCTTGTGTGTTTGGTAAATTAGTTTATTAAAAAAGACTAGTGTTTATGAAGGAAATTAAACATGATCTTACCGAGGGTGTTTTTCTGTCATCTCGCGGAGCTCCTTCAAGCTCTCGTGCTCTCTTGGATGCACACTGGTTTCAAGTATATACTGCACTAGTACATGTATTAGCGAATATGAGACTCAATAATAAAAATATATATTATTTATACGTTGAGAGATTAAAGTAAAAAAGATGTTGAATGAACCTGATAGAGTTCATCGCTCTGAAGGAGACTCTTATGAGCGAGTTCTTTGTGGCCGACGAGTTGGTTTTGTTGATCCTCTTCGTTATTGACAGCCATCTCTGTTTTGTATACCTAACTTAATTTTCTTTCGTACTTGGAAGTGTATTTTCTATGAGAAGCCCCAAAATGGTGTCCAATTTATAGAGAGGGCAAGTTGCTGGAGGAGTCATAAGCAACTACTTTGATATTAACATGATTAAATAACTATAAAGGTTATGCTAACACAACATGCTCGCCACTAGCTAGAAAGGGTTCGGTAACCAGAAGCTTCCTTTTCACCAACTATATATTCCCTCGCTCTTGCAGGGGGCACCAGTTCCAAGTTCTTTAGCGCCCTGTTTGACCTTAAATTTGGATGCTTGTGTTCTCATCCAAGTCTACCCTCCTTACTCCTTAGTATTCCCCGGAAATGTTTATTACTTAATTACTCTATGTTATATTATACATATATTGGGACTATAAATATTAAATTTATTCCTTGAAACTCCCGAAAAAATTTGTACATAATAATATGTGACAATAGTTAAACATTTAAAAAGTGTCATGAGATCAACTATTAGGTTAGATTGGTAGTAGGGGCTATCAACAGAGAGTTAGACCAAATTTCTACGAAAATTTGACCCTATTCTTAGTAGAAGATCAATTTGAGGACAATATCTTCGGTGACAGCGATGCTGATGCATTCAGTTTTCGGTGTATTTTTCATAAATAATGGGATAGTGTTTTATTTTTTTGTCAAATTATTCTCTTATTTGATATTAAAATAAATTATTCATTAATAATTTAATAAAAATAAGATGCATCATATTATGAATGAAAGATACACAACTGCATCGGTAACTCTGAAAATTTTCCTATTTGAAACAGTTTCCTGACATTAGCAATGCTACAATCAAAACAGGACAATATCCTGACATTAACCGGGGGCGTTTGGAATTTTTATGATTTTTGATAAACTAAATTTTTTTAAATTTTAAATTTATGGATAATATCATAAATTGAATATAAAAATTATAATTTTAAAAATTGAGATTTTCGACTAAATTTTGTTTTTTCTGTACCAAACGTTCCAATCTTACGAACAATACTGGTATTATTTTATTAAGAAAAACATAAAGCATGGAGAGCGAGGGAAATAATGTCAATACAGAGGAGCAGTCAAGTGGTTCATAACAATAATGACGAAGGGTTGGCAGGGGGCATTAGTAACCAGATTCCCTATATCAAAGGTGGAAAATGACAATTTTGACATTGTGAAGGAGTTTATAAAAAAATAATAATAATTCAAAGAATAAGTGACAAAGATAAGGATATGACTTTCTGAAAATTTTATCTAACTTTTAAATTAGCATCCGATAGAGGAGGGGTTATTCTCTATATTGTCTCATGCCAAAGAGTGAAAAGAAGCGGTAATTATGCAGTTGAATAACGTGAGTAGAGGAGCGAGTATTTTTATATTTTCAGCAACTTTCTGGTATGTTGCTGAAAATCATGAACTTTCAAGTGACTAAAACATTAGTTTTAGTTTTTGATTTTCCACTTATAAAGCTAAGTTTCAAAATCAATTGTAAGTTTCTGGATTTATTCTAAGAAAGGTAGTGAGTTGAGTCTTAAGGAGAATATCTTCGGTGACAGTGATGCACTCAATTTTTGGTATATTTTTCATAAATAATGTGACACATATTTTATTTTTTGTCAAAATATTTTTTCACATGATATTAAAATAAATTATTTATTAATAATTTAATAAAAATAACACGCATATCGTATTGTAAATGAAAGATACACTTAAAAACTTGAAAATTTTCCTATTTGAGACAGTTTCCTGACATTATCAATGCTACAATCAAAAGAAGATAGTACCCAAGTTATCTTATGGACAATGAGTTTATTCAAAAAAAAATCTTATGGACAATGCTTGTATTATTTTATTAAAAAAATCGTAAAGCGTGTAGAGCAAGGGAAATAATGTCAATACAGAGGAGCAGTCAAGAGGTTCGTAACAATAATGGCGAAGGTTTGGTAGGGGACTAGGGGGCATTAATTACAAGATTCCCTAAATCAAAGGTGGAAAATGACAATTTTGACATTGTGAATGAGTTTAAAAAAAAAATTAATTCAAAGAATAAGTGACAAAGATAAGGATATGACTTTCTAAAAATTTTATCTAACTTTTAAATTAGCATCCGATAGAGGAGGGGTTGTTCTCTATATTCTCTCATGCCAAAGGGCGAAAAGGAGCGGTAATTATGCAGTTGAATATATGTGAGTAGAGGAGCGAGTATTTTTATATTTTCAGCAACTTCTGGTATCATGCTGTTGCTGAAAATCATGAACTTTCAAGTGACTAAACATCAGCAAAGTATCTTAGTCATGTCAAAAATTTCAGCTGGTATTAAATTAGCTACAGTTATATAGTTACATCCAAAATGTGACTAGTTTTCAAAAAAATTGAAATATGATTTGTTATATTTATTTAGATATGCTTGAAACATAGTTAAATTAGGCAGTGCTAAAGTACTATACCAACTGATCCTATTGAAATGAGATAATATTTGTTGAGTTGTACAATTGTTAGAATTTTAATCATTGATTACACAATTACATAATAATAAGAGATTTGTATTAAATAAATTAATTTTTTATTTGAAGTTGATTGACATAATCATAGGAGATTTGTATTAAATAGAGATAGTAACAAGTTATTTCATTTCCTTATTCATAGCTGATTGACAACTAATTTGTAATAGACATAGAGTTCTCATTTATGTATAAATTGACTCTCGTAGAAGAAGAATAAACATGCAAAAATATTCATAATATGACATCATTGTTTTGACAGGTACCAACGTGACTCTGTCACTCACTAAAATATTAGTTTTAGTTTTTTATTTTCCATTTATAAAGTTGAGTTTCAAAATCAATTGTAAGTTTCTGAATTTATTCTAAGGTAGTGAGTTGAGTCTGGCTATGCTATACCCATTAGAGTCCAGAATATATTATTTGCTCTTTAATGAGCAGAGGCAGACCCACATGGGGGGCTAGGGTTGGCCCTCGCCCCTCTCTTAAAGTCTGAAAAAAAAATCTTATACACCCAGAAACTTTACTTATTATTACAGGGAAACCTTTATCCCCTATCCAGAGAAACCTAAACCTCCTCCCATTGAGAAGTAATAAGTCTTGGCTTCTACCAGTTTAAACACGTTTCTTCGTGCACCCCTGTCACATTCTTACAGAAATCTTTGTCTCTACAATTTTTGTATATAGTCATGTACACCTCCAGCACATTGTACATGTGCCTATCATATCTAAAGTCTTGCAAGCAAAAAAAATATAAATTTTATTAGGTTCTTTCTAATAGACATTTTTGCATCCATATTATGATCATTCCAATCACAATTGGCATTATTTTTTCATAACAATAATATAAATTTTTGCCCCCCTCTGTATAAATTTCTGGGTCCGGCATTGTTAATGAGTATAGTGAGTTTTATTTTTCTGTTTGGTTGATATATAAAATAAGGGGGTTGCGACTTGCGAGTATCAATATTACAGGAACAAGGATCAAATTTTTGCAAACACAATTTTAGGAAGGACTCACAAATTAAAAAAAAAAAAAAAAAAAGTTAAGCACAACATTCAATGTTAGCGCAGAAAATACTGTTCCTGTTCTAGCAACATTATAATTATATTTCCGATAAAATAATTAGGTCTCTATTGGTTGAATCTGTAATGGTACAGGATGCAACTATTCTCGGGAAAAAATTTCAATACCATCGTAGGGAAATATCTATGGTACTATTGTTGTACCAATAAAAAATAAGAAATGACTGACATGTTTATATAAAAAGAAGAAAAAAATATTTTTTTATCCAAGTGTTACTTGTCGAAAAATAGATGTATCTACTACAGATGCACAGAAGAAGATGATCTCCACCTCACAGATACATTCAGCCAATAAGAATGTGTTGTGTTAGTTTCTGTTATATCGGAGAATTTTTTTTTTTTTTTTATATTTTATACTATAAAATATATTAATATTATCGCACCCAATTTTTAATTCCACCGTTATACCAAAAAAGCATTCCTATTCTCGGCTGCATGGCGCTCCAATGGGGCAGCTATTTTCTTCTGAGTACGTTATTGACTTATTGCATATTTGTTTTAGAGGTAAGATATTTTTATTATTAAATATTTTATTATTTGATTTAATATAATTATATACTATCAGTAGTATATCAAAAATTCTTTTTTCTCTCTCTTTTCAGAAAGTATCTGCTGAAAAATGATAAAAAAATTGTTAATAAAAATATCATACCTCTTTATTTTAATATAGAGAAAAGATGTGAACTTTTATAACCTCAATGCATATATATTAAGAATTATTTTTTAATTCTATAATCCTAGTTATTCTTTTGAGTAATTTTTGGATATTTACAGAATGCAGACGGAAAAGATATTTGCAAAAGTATGATATTAATCTCAAATGACAAGTGTGATAATTATCAGGCTCTTATACAAATCCATGCAATAATAATTTAATATAATACCAAAATAAAAAAATAGGTATAAATTATTGAGAATGAAACTCATATTGTTAACTTGTTATTAGGGTGCTAAACAAATCAGGGACCTTTAAGGATTTTTGGCTCGACTCGTGAAGACATGAGCTTACATGTCTAAAATTAGTTGTTGGCTTCAGGCTTGAATATGTATAAAAGCTCATATAATAAAAAAGCCTCATACTTTAATTCAAAAGCTCGGCCTTAAAGCTTCTCAGTAGGGGTGGTAAACAAGCCAGGGGTCTTTGGCTCAGCTCGTAAAGGCCTGAACTCGTTTAGTAAAAGCTCGTGTTGGAACCAGGCTTGGACTTGTATAAAAGCTCGTTTAATAAAAAGGCCACAGGCTCTAATTCAGAAGTCCGGCCTTAGAGCCTCCCAGGCTAGCCTAGTATATAAATATTTATTTATATTTTTTATACTACTTGTAATAACTCTCTCTCATCAATTTATTTCACACTATTTTATTGGTTTAATAGACTTTTTGAATGATTTTGTTCT